TTGGTCTCTTCTCACTGGTGACAGGATGAAGGGAAATGGCTTTAAGTTGCACCAGGATAAGTTTAGGTTGGATATCAGAACAAACTTCTTTACAGAAAGGGTTGTTAAGCACTGGAATGGACTCCCCAGGGAGGTGGTTGAGTCACCATCCCTGGATGTGTTTAAAAACCATTTGGACGTGGTGCTCAGGAACATGATTTAGTGGAGGGTTGTTAGAGTTAGGGTAGTGTGGTTAGGGTGTGATTGGACTCAATGATCTTTAAGGTCTTTCCAACCTGGTTCTATGATTCTAAATAAACTGCCAAACCCCACTTCGCATTTTAGAAAACAAATATCCAAGTATCTATCACTGCAGATAAGAAGTGATAGGACATGACAACTCACAGGTGTGCCAAGCAGTTCTACAAATAGATGCCAGCAAGCTACAACAGCTAAAGGTTTCTATCTGCTCTCACCTGTGGGACCTCATTGGACAGATCCTCACTAAAAACTACAGGAGAGTACTGTGGTGTTACATTAACCCCTCAGTCTTCTTCAGCATTTAAGTAATGAAATCATTCACATATGTTATGAAAATTCAGGCCCCCTCCCATAGGTTAAGGAGGAGTAATCTCCCAGTAATTCCTCTCAAAATAAAAGTTTAACATTTTTGAATGAAACACATAAGATTTCCCTTGAAGTTCTAGTCAGTTCTACTCCAGGCTGATGACAGCAGACACCTCAGTTCCTCACTGCTACCAAATGTCCCCTTGATAACTCTGGCTCCAAGCCTCAGGGTGAAGTGAATAGAACCTGTTTACCAGGACACGTTCTCTGCATAGCCTTTCAAGTAGAAAAGTTCCTCTTTTTCCACATTCCACAGCAGCTTCAGCACAGGTGACGAATGTTTCTTCAGTCACTACTACACTGAAGATCACAAAGTTGTTTCACAGTACAGGTCTGCATGTAATCTTTTCAAAAGTGTTTTAAAACAAGCATACAACACAACTGCAGAAATAATTTCACTGACTAGTAAGAGTTGTAACATGAGAAAAGCATTAGCTGGTGTTTTTATACAAACAGGATTTTAATTTAGTCCACGTGCTTTCTGCACATCAGAAAGGTGTCATAGCAAAAAAAGCAAGAGATCCACACAAAGTTCCTGATGCCTAATGCTTCAGGAAGTCAACAATTTTTTTGAAAAGATGACCATGCAAGGTATTGTTATAGATGTTATTATCCTGGTTTGGATCAGTCTCCATCATATACAGCTCTCCTGCATGGACATCCTCAAAGTCAGCGCTAAAGTTCTCAGGATTAAACCGAACCCATACAGTGTATCTGCAGTCAACTGTACGCATGGAATAGCCCATGATTCTGATGTCTTTTAGCTTCGGCTTGTCAGAGTCCCACTGTGGAGTGTCTGCAGGCCGGGGATACTGGCTGAAAGCAACAGGTTCTTCACTGTTACACCTGTTAGTGTCATTACAACCATCCTCCTCCTTCTGTACCTTCTGTTCAGAGGACTTAAAATACCGGACAATGCTTGCCCCCTCAGTGCACAGTGCAACATGAAATGAAGTCCTTGGGCACGCAGGAGGAACCTGCAGGCCAGCAAGTTCAGCAAGCGTTGAAAAGAGAGAGACAAGCTCTACCATTTTTTTGCTTTGTCCTGGAAGAAACACCAAAATACATATTACTGAACATGATGATTTGTCAGACATTGGTACATATTTGGAACTTACTCCCATAACTGAATTGGTATTTTATTGCAAGTGCTCTGTACTAGATGTGTGGAGTAATATAATCAAGGTATAGCAGTTTGCTCTGAGGATGCTAGGCTATATATATTTTAACGAGAAGAAATTTTTGCACTTACAGTTCTCAAATGTGCAAACTCTTCAAGACAACGACATTCATTACTTTGAGAAAAAAACCTCAGAAACACAAAGCAAATTCCAGTGTCAACTGTTTAACATGACTGCTTTTATCAAAACAGTTCCTAATGTCACAGTCCTACTACACAGAGACATAGAGAACTCTTACTCATTACTGTTTCAAAGCAGCTGCCACTACAAAAGGGAGGTTGAGTATTGTTTCATTCTTGTGTAGTACAGACACCTAAATTACCTGCTGTATTAATGCAGGCATCTACTGCTAAGGCGTAGCTAACCATAGTAGAAGCCTGCGTCCAAATACGGAACATTCCCTTCATCATTTTGTTCCTTATTAGTACAGAAGCACACAACACCAAAAAGCTGCTCATATTTGAAGCATCATTGTATCACTCACTGTTTTTTAAATATATCCAGTGCAAACAAACAAAACCAAAAATTTACCTTGTGGTACCAAGCCTAAAATATTGCTAAAGGGATCAAGGTAGGGGAAGACTCTCTCTCCTTGGCTAGCAGAGGAAGTCGTCATTCCTGGTACATAAAACATCAGCGGCACTTGGGTAGCAACGTCAAAATTGCTGTATTTTGCCCATTCACCATGCTCTCCTAGGGACCATCCTAAATGACAGAGTATAATTCAGAACAGATACAGACTTGTAATTTAGAAGTCATTTCTTTTTCACTGTAAAGTGACTTTGGCAGTTGAGGCCATTAGTCTTATCAAGGTTATATTAAAATGCAAATAACCTATCTGTGTTTAAACATAACAAGATTTTTCTAATACAAAAACTATTTCAACAGGCATGTAAATCTTGCAACTTGATATTCTCATATCAAGGAAACAATTACACCTGTCTCTATTTCCATTATCCTAGATTAGAATTAGGAAATCAGTATTAAAACAGCATAAAAGAGGAACTGGGATTAGTCATTGCACCTGCAAGAATCTCCACCTTGAAGTTTTGTGCAGCTGCCAGCTCTCCAATACCAGTTACACTGTAACTGAATATCTCTTGGAGCCAATACTGCTATCTAAGCCAGACTGCCACATCAGGATGCTACTCTGAAGAAAGCAATAGAGTTAAAATCTCTTTAGCTTTCCTCATCCTCTTGGAGAAGATACCAACATGGCTTCCTTTCAGGGCAGACTGATTGCTAACTTCACTATTTGCAAAATTTTTTGTCTCATTTTGCTGACATGGTACTGGAAACACCACTTGTTTACAGTTAACCACAGCAAGAAAAGCAGAAGAAAAAAAAAAGAGAAAGAAAAGAAATGAAAGAAGGAAATTCAGACTGAGTGGCAGATTGGCAAGTCAGGAGGTACATCAAGAACTTCTTTTGTACAAGAAGTGTTAATTCTATTACTCTGCAATTCACAAGGGCTTTTTTACACAGACATACTCACAAACCTTAACCAAACATGTGACTTTAAATTGTTGTAGTTAAGTCATACCCTGTTTTAAGTCAGCTAAGCCATTTCACAATTAAGAGGACCACAGGAAGATTATCTTAATGAATATTAGAATACTGAAGCAATTACAAGCTTGAGGCATTTTTCCCATAATTCAAAGACCCCAAATATGAGGGGGGAAAACAAATTGCTATCAGTTTACACACTGCTAGCAGCAATGACATGCAAAAAAAAGAAAACAAAACCCAACATTTTAGTGGTTAATGAGAAAGCTTGTTGCCCACTGTAGCAGATGCTCTTTACAAACTGCAAAGAGGGCGACATGGTGGCAATCCTATAGCAGCGCTCTTCCCAGCAGGAGCCACTCCTTGGGGTAGGAGGTGGGAATGTAGTAAGCTCAGCCCAGTGTTCTGGAAGGCAGCCTCATAACACACTCATCTCTATACTCATAGCCAACCCTCAACCTGATTAAAGACAGAGGTGCCTGCAGAGGAACAGAGCCACAGTCATAGAACTCCATGTCGGTCCATTAAGGATGGACAGACTAGCCAGATATACACGGTACAGCAGCTCTGCTATGCATCATAAAAACACACACCTAATTAACACGCCAGCACTGAGTTGCACAATTAAGAATTTACCAGCAGGGAGCTGGAGGAAGATTTAGACACTTACCATGATCAGCAGTAAAAACTACTATTGTGCTATTTGAGAGTCCTACATCATCTAAAGCATTCAAGAGCAGGCCGACCTGCATATCCAGGTAAGAAACTGCTGCATAGTAGCTCTGACGAATCAGCCTCTGAAAATTAAGAAACAGGAGAAAAAAGAAAAAAAAAAAGCTGGAAACTCAGAACATCTAAAAGCAGCCTCTTGCTCCCTTGCATTTGAATAAGTTACGGAAGTTTGATTTCACTGTATTGACAGCTTACCTGGAAGTCATCTGGAAGTGGCCCATAAGGGAAAGTAACATTTAATGCTTTCACATCATCCCTCTGTCTGATATCCATCCAGGGGTTGTACGCCACAGGAGGTAGTTTCTCAGGCACCCAGGGATCTGGGGCTAATGTGATGTTTTCCAGGGGGTACAACTTCAGAAATTCCTTTGCAACACAAGCACACAAAGACTGTCCTCACCTTTAAGGTCTACTGTAAAATTGCATTGCAAACCATTAACCGTTTCTCCTTGCATGACCCTTCCTTAATATTCTTACAGTTAGTTTATAAGACTTCACCCATCCCCAAGTACAAAAAGGTAACATTGTTATGTTAGTTAATTCCAACAAATTCCTGAAAAATTCTGAGTTAGTAACTGGTATCATATCTCTTAACACAGTCTCCCGAATCTCAAAGTCACACTGAAATATAAGGCCCAACGTTGCCACCTCTAATATGAGTAGGACTTCTGCTACTGGCTCATATGGAGAAGCGAGAAGGCCTTACTATGTCACATCATGACAAATAGTATCTCCATGCAATAGCTATCAGACTATTAAGGTGGTAGATGTCCAAATTTTAGCTGACTGGTCACAACTCTCTCATTAAACATCCTGAAATTCAACACAGCTCTAAAATTACACTGAGTAAAGGCTGTTTTTCAGTTTTCTTTTCAGAAACAATAATAACAAAGCATCTGTGAAACAGCTTTAATAAGAAAAACACTTTTCTAAGTTCCTTTCACCACAGGCTTTAGGTTCCTCACCTGTGGATACCTCAAAGGGATGTGTGGCTTATGGTAACCAACAGCCAGGAAGAATTTTTGCTTCTTGGTTTTCATAACGTTCAGTAAGCGTATGGCTTCTTCAGTGGTTTGAATATCAGGCAGAGTACCACCAGGCATTTCTGTCACATCTACTGGGCACACCAAGTTAGCATAAAGTCTTCCATCTTTTCCCCTGCAGGTCTTAAAAAAAAAAAAAAAAAAAAAGTTATGTAATTTAACTTCTGCACAAGCAAAGAAATAATCTTCAGTTCTGTAATTGTCAAATAACTTTGTTTCTCAACCCTTTCACATACTGCAGATCATATGCAAAAATGAATTTCACAACTTCTGTGAACACTGAAACCACCAACCAGCTTGATGACTGAGGCAGAAAGTTTCAGGGGCTGATGAATGCACAAAACATACAACAATTTTTATGTCTAAAGAAAAGCAGAATCTCTTCTAAAGCTGGCCAAAACTTGAAAAGTAGTTACACAGAAAAAGACAGAGCTTCTATAATGAATAGAGGCTCTGACCTATTAACAAGAAGGTACAACCTGGTTACACTATACACATGCATTTTTTGATTCCTCTGATCCCATAGAAAGCTGCCTGAAAGCTACTAATGAGTCATTAATTTCTGAGCAAGTCCAGCCATTTATGGTCAGTGAGGAAAGATAAATTCACACAAATGGCTGCCAAGAAAAGGCAGCCTCAGCAGGTAGCTTGGGAGAGCTGCTAAATGAACGTAAAGAGAAGTATGTCATGGATACAAATGCTGTTGTTAAAATCAGTATTTTTCAGCAGTAAATGCAAGAACAAAGTATCACCAAGGCTGCCTGTACCCTCACAGCTGCATCTCCTAGCTCTGACATTTACAGACTCCAGCACACAGTGTTATTCCAGTATGTGCACAAGTGTAAAATAAATTCTTTTAGGCCATGTTTAAGAGTAACAAACATTCCAGAAAATCAAATTAAAGTTTCAGATAATTTAAAGTTTTTTTCAATTATGAGTTCCCCTCCCTGGCTCGGCTCTGTATCTGTAATATAAATTCACCAAGCCTATGACAATGTTTTACAAAAAAACCATTCAGTTACAACTGAATAGAGTAAGACCAGCATGGAAGCTGACAAATGCACTTTTCAGATAAAGAATTTCATGACGTAGACGCATGGTTAAGATCACTTTATCTTGAATTCATCTTTATATCTCAGTAACATTACCAAATTCTAATTTCTAAATACTTAAGTTCAGAATGGGCTTATGAATTAACATGACACAACTTACCATGGAGTACAGACCTCCCTTGGAAGTTTTAGCAGCAGTATCAAACTGGAGTAGTTATTTCCTTGTCCAGTGTTACAGTCTCAAAAGCCAGACCACAGGCTTATGTTAGACACAAAGAACTTTGTTATACCTGAAAACCTTTCTTTGTTAGCATCCCACAAAACACTTTTACCTTATCATTTTCATATTTTTCAGTAGAAGGATGAAAGGGTGGAATGGACCAGCTGTATGGATAGTCATCGCTGTAATTGGATGAAACTCCTGACAAAAGTAAACATATAAAAGTGTTCCAGTAATTCACTAAATCAGGAAGCTCCAATGCAAATGTGAGTTGTTTTCAAAATATATGTTTATTTGTAATTCCACATTCTAAACATAGGCTATTCTCCCTGAAATACACCTGTTATTGAGAAAAGATACTTAAGCTTTTCAAAGAACCTTACTTTAGGAGCAGAAGAAACAGAACTAATAATACATACATCCCTAATCAGATTTTTCATCAACTGAACATCTGTAGACCCACATAAATTAATCTCCGGGGTAAAGATTTACCAGAAAGAGAATCACCTAAGTATTATACTATTTTTCATCTCAGTGGTGTTATTAGTTTTTAACTAAAGAACCAATTTCCTATTTAACCAGTAACATCAGCCATATGGTCTATATCTCCTGATCCAGACAGCCTATTGCATAACATGAAATGTGTGTATGCAAAACTAGGACAATGAGGCTGTTCACCTTTAGTAGACACTTAATTTCAAGACATGTTTTGAAAATGGCAAACATTTCTTCCCATAACCCCTAGACAGAACATGAAAATATGTACTAGATAGTAGTCATCTAATAAATCTTGAGGTATTAGAGATGAACATTAGATTGCCTTTAAATGATCATCTATAACCATAATCTGCCCAAGACAATGATTTAAGTTGTCCATATAGATAAAAATCATGTCATTCATACACACACGTTCTCAAAAACAGACCTCATCTACAGAGTATGTTATGCAGACAACAATTCAAACCTTACCAGGATGAAAAACTTTCCCCACAGACATGGTCACGTAGCCATTCTCTTTGAAATACTGGGGCATTGTGGAATAGTTTCCTGAATGCACTCTCCAGTAGGAGTAGAAGTCATACAGCCGGGTAGTATCAGGTCTGCGTCCAGTAAGGAATGACACTCTACTTGGTGCACACACAGCTTGCTGAGGAGAGAGCCAGACAAAAGGAAAATCAGTTCTGAACATAAAACAAAGCATACCTAGCAACTGCAACCTACCAACTTCAGCATGGCTGGACAAAACATCCAAGGGCTCAAAACTGCAGTGAAAGTGATATACTTCAAGCTGGCTGAACAGCATCTTTCTTGGGAACACAAATTCCCAACTGGAACATTTTATCAAGATATACATTTACCTATTTATCATTATCCTTTGATAACCAATTCCTCCATGCTAAAGTTCATAAATTACATTTCAGCATAACCATTCTTTTCTAATACAATTATTTAAGTAGTTAAGTAATTAAATAAATACCTTTTTTCCCAAAGATCTGCCTAAAACCTATTGTTATAATACCAGTATGTATTTTGCAGAGAGAAAACATTTTTGTTTTTATCTCACCTGTGCATATGCATTGCTGAAGACAATACTATGAGAAGCAAGTTGATCAATGTTAGGAGATTTCACAAGGTTATCTCCATAACAACCCAAAACAGGACGCAGGTCATCCACAACTATAAAAAGGACATTCATGCCATCTAAGAGGAAACAGAACAAGGATACACTAACTTGAGCTTCAGTTATTTTACACACTTAATACAGCCCAGAAATTTTCTGGAAAATTTAACCTGGAAGAATATTTAAGAGAAATAAAATAAGTTAAGTCAGCAAGAACACTGAATATCTTTACAAGGAAATGTAAATACTGGGATTCAATCCCTCAACCAACAGAAATGAATTCAAAGGTTCTCTTTTTATTTGGCCTAGGCAGAACAACTTCCCTTCCCTTTCACTTCCCTTTTTCACAGAATCATAGAACGAGTAAGGTTGGAAAAGACCAGTAAGATCATTTTGTCCAATCATCAACCCTTCCCCACCATGTCCCTCAGTGCCACACCTCCACAGTTCTTTAACACCTTGAAGGACAGTGACTCCACCAACTCCTTGGGCAGCCTCTCTACTCTTTGTAACAATAAATCTTTCCTAGCATCCAACCTGAACCTCCCCTGGTGCAACTCGAAGCCATCACCTCTCGTCCTATCGCTGTTACCTGCGAGCAGAGGCCGACCCCCACCTCCCCACAACCTCCATTCAGAGAGCTGTGCTTTAAGGTCTCCCCTGAGCCTCCTCTGCTGCAGACTGACCCATCCCAGCTCTCAGGCCGCTCCCCATCACACTCGTGCTCCAGAGCCCTCACAGCTCCGCTGCCCATCGCTGGACACTCTCCAGGGCCTCCACGTCTGTACTGCAGTGAGGGGCCAACACAGCACTGAGCTGTGACCTCACCAGTGCACAACAGGATGACCACCTCCTGCTTCTGCTGCCTGCACTACTGCTGACAGAAGCCAGGATGCCACCACTGGCTTTCTTGGCCTCCTTATTTCCCTCCACAGCATTTTCTTCAGCTACCGCCAATTCTGTACAGAAAAAAAAAAAAAAAAAAAAAAAAAAAAAGCTGCAGTCTTTTAGTTCTACCTCCTTTTAAACTTTACAAACTAGGGCCAAAGGAGGATTGTTAAGCTGCATAATCCTGCTCCAAACAGAGTAAAATAAAGCGACGAGCTATCTAACACGAAGCACATGTTATTAAACACTCTCTGAAGGCAGCACGCTATATTACAGCTCCAACACCACAAAAAGTACCGGCAGCCAGCAGCCCTCAGGGCCCCGCCGGAGCCCGGCACGGAGCGAGGGAGCCCAGCCTGCAGCACGGCGCCCGCGCCCAGAGCTCGGCTCTCCACGCGGCGGCCCGGCAGGAGCCATGCCCTCGCACGGCGCCTTAACCCCGGCCCCGGGAAGCCCGGCCCGATTCGGCCCTCCCTTTCTGCTGCCGGGAAGGACGAGACCCACCCAGGCCCCGCCGCACCTCCGGGCCCCGCCGTCCTGCGAGTGCGGAGCCTGGGGACCGCCGCCGCCACGGAGGAGAGCGCGAAGCCCGCGCACGGGGCCGCCAGCAAACAGACGAAGAGTCGGGCGGCGGCCGCCATGTCGCAGTGCCGCGGGGCTGGCGCACCCGGCGGGGCTCTGAGCCCCGGCTCAGTCGCCGTGCCGTTCTCCCGCATGATGGCGCCGTAGCCCCGCGCAGAGCTGCGCTGCGCCGGGCGCGGTCCGGGTGCGGCGCGCCGCGGGAGCGTTCGGGGCAGCGGGCGGCCGGGAGGGACGGGGAGCGGCGGGCCGGATCAGCGGCGCGGCTCAGGCGGCGTTACGGTCTGCCAAGGGAGACGCTGCAGAGTGAGGGCGCGGGTTCGCGTTCTTAGCACCATTTAGTCCTACCGGGAGTCCCTAGGCATTTAGTGCGGCAGTGCTCCTCGTTAAGGGAATGGTACCCGGGTAATTACGTCTTCCCCATGCAGATCACAGCGTTGAGGAATGAGGAAGTCAGGTGCGTTACACTTCATATTTAGAGAAGTTCTCTCTGAGTGATACTTAGCTCTCATCCCGTTTGTTAATCAGATCTGCTGCTAGTTAATGCTCATTTTCTTTAAACATGTACTGTACGTCCAGAACTACTACGAGATCCAGGGGCTGAGTTGATGCCGTCTGTTGGGGATGCTCCGTACAGCAGGCAGCAAGCACTGGGCGCCAGGGCTGAGATGTGCACGTTGCTGGCCTCAGTGGACAGGAAAGCTGCATGTTGTTTCCTCTGTGCAGTATTAAAACATACTCCGTAAAAAGCCCTGAAACTCTGCATGGTTTATGTTTTGAATAATGGAAGAGGGAAGGGTTTATTGCTGGTATTCCTGAATGACATGAACTTGCGGTTAACCATACAAATGGTTCCCATTTGCAACTGTAAGGTTACCGAAGAGCAATATAGCAACTCAGAAAAGAATCATAGAAACACAGAATGGCCTGGGTTGAACAGGACCTCAAAGATCATCTCATTTCAACACCCCTGCCACAGGTGAGGTCGCCAACCAGCAGGCCAGGCTGCCCAGAGCCACATCCAGCCTGGCCTGGAATGCCTGCAGGGATGGGGCATCCACAGCCTCCTTGGGCAACCTGTTCCAGTGCCTCACCACCCTGTGGGTGAAAAACTTCCTCCTAATATCTAACCTAAACCTCTCCTGTCTCAGTTTAAAACCATGCCCCCTTGTTCTATCTCTATCCAGCCTTGTGAACAGCCATTCCCCCTCCTGTTTATACGCTCCCTTCAAGTACAGGAAGGCCACAATGAGGTCTCCCCGGAGTCTTCTCTTCTCCAAGCTAAACAAGCCCTGTTCCCTCAACCTTTCCTCATAGGAGAGGTGCTCCAGCCCTCTGACATCTCAGTGCCCTCCTCTGGACCTGCTCCAAGAGCTCCACGTCCTTCCTGTGCTGGGAGCCCCAGCCTGGGTGCAGTGCTGCAGATGGAGCCTCCCCTCAGAGGGGGACAATCACCTCCCTGTCCCTGCTGGCCACCCCTTTTTTCATGCAGCCCAGCACACAGTTGGCCTTCTGGGCTGCAAGCACACACTGCTGGCTCATGTCCAGCTTCTCGTCCACCAGGACCCCCAAGTCCTTCTCCACAGGGCTGCTCTCAAGGAGAGCTTCCCCCAGTTTGTATAAATACCTGGGATTGTCCCAACCCAAGTGCAACACCCTGCACTTGGCCTTGTTGAATCTCATTAGGTTTTCATGGGCCCACTTCTCCAGCCTGTCCAGGTCCCTCTGGATGCTACCCTTCCTTCCAATGTATCAACTGCACCGTTCAGCTTGGTGTCATTTGCAAACTTGCTGAGGGTGCACTCAATGCCATCGTCTATGTAGTTGAAGATGTTGAAGAGCACCGGTCCCAAGACCAATCTCTGAGGGATGCTGCTTGTGACCGGCCACTACCCTGACACAGAACCATTATCACAACCCTTTGGCTGCGTCCAGCCAACCAAATGAGTTAAAAGTCCATAGTTATATGGACCTAAACACTTAACAAGCAGTGAATTGACTAAATATAAAAAATATGAATATAAAAAGCATACACCAAGTTTTCACTCAGTGGCATGCAAATACTGCAGTCTGCTGATGTTAACCAAGATGGCACATGTTGCTTTCCTTTCTTTTTTCGCAAATGTCAGGTGCTCCTTTGACTACAAGTGGCAGATCAGCAGTGAAACAGACTGGCAAATATCTATGCCTCTATGACCAGACTATGAACAATAAAACTAGAGGAAAAGCCTCTACTACAGAAAACATGCAATTTTTCTTTTTTCTTTTTTTTTTTTTTACAGAAAAATGCAAAACAAATGGATATAAGAAAGAAGCCTTTTACACTAAGGGTGGTGAGGCACTGGCACAGGTTGCCCAGAGAGGTAGTAGTGCTCCATCCCTGGTGGAATGAGGAAGGTGAGGCTAGGCAGGCTCTGAGCACCTGCTGAGCTGTAGATGCCCCTGATCAGTGCAGGGGAGTTTTACCAGGTGGCCTTTAAAAGTCCCTTACAACTCTAAAGAATCTATGATTCCATGATTCAAATAACATAATCTCCAATGGAAGAAAGATGCAGAGCCCTTGGAATGGGTCACTTGGAGGGTCACTAAGATGATCAGAGAGCTGGAATACCTTTCCTGTGAGGAAAGGCTGAGGAAACTGGGCTTGTTTAGCTTGGAGAGGGCTCCAGGAAGACCTCATTGTGGCCTTCCAATACTTTCAGGGGATGGATAAACAAGGCAGGGAATTACTGTTTACATGGGTTGATAGTGATTTGATGGTGATTTGCCCCTGTACTTGGCACTGGTGAGGCCTCACCTCGAGTGCTGTGTTCAGTTTTGGGCACCACAGTACAGAAAGGACGTGGAGGTGCTGGAGCAGGGCCAAAGAAGGGCAGCAAGGCTGGTGAAGGGCTTGGAGAATATGGCCTATGAGGAGAGACTGAAGGAACTGGGGCTGTTCAGTCTGGGGAAGAGGAGGCTGACATGAGACCTTATTGCTCTCTTCCAATATCTGAAAGGTGATGGCAGTGAGAGCGGGGTTGGTCTCTTCTCACTGGTGACAGGTAACAGAATGAGGCTGGGTCTGGTTGTTGGGACCCTGCACATAGCAGGGGGGTTGAAATGAGGTGATCATTGTGGTCCTTTTCAACCCAGGCCATTCTGTAATTCTGTGAATATATAATTTTATTCTTTATGTGCCTCAAGAGTGGGTGGCTCTTTTTTGTGAAAATTAAAATGTTGCCAGTGTGATCTTTAAGAGAAAAATGACCGAATCCATTGCTTCTTTTTCTGTATGCTGAGAACAAGCATTTCAAAACAAAATCAGTAGCTGAGAAGTTCAAATATAACCAACCCCACCCCATTGGGTAATTAAGTAGTCTTGTTGTACCCTCCAGCCTACCAGAGCCAGGGCAGTAGATTTATCAGGTGTAATTAGTTCACAGCAGGTCCAAGCAGCAAAAAGCACACAAAAAAACCTCGATGCCTTCTCAAGGTATTGAACATACTGTTCATGTACATGTTAATTGTACACCTTTCAAGGGTCTGTGTCTTGCTGGGTTTGTTGGATCTCCTTCACACTTTTGGTACAGGTGGCTTGCACAATACCTCCAGTACATGCAAGACACAGAAAAATTAACACCAATATGCAAGTTCTATTTACATGTACAAGTGATATACCTCATCTGTATTAGAATTTAATATTTTCACATGTTTGTAAACTGAATGCCTGATAGTTTCCTATAACCAGTTTCCTTGTCCATCTCATTAGGAGAATGGGATAGGGAATAACCTGTTTCTCTGCTCTCTACATAAACATTCCTGAACCCATATGCAATGGATGGGCTTATCATAAACTTTTGATCTCACCAGTGAGAATTAGCTAAAATGATCTGTCACAATCTTATTCTATAGGATGTATAGCTGAAAAACCTGATGTATTATATATTAGTATGCACATGCACATTTAATCACATGAACTTTCTCTAAAATAATTAGAGTAATGTGTATTTTTATTCCTTTCTAGAGACATTAAAAATGCCTAAAGTACATGAGGAATCCTGTTACTACAAATTCAGTTACTTCAAATCATGTAGTGAGTAACCAGCTCATTCAGTTAATTTGATACATATTTTGGAATTAATTTTGTATGTAAGCACATCTCACAGGTATCAGCATCTCTCCTAGCAAAGATGAGCTGCTAGAAATATTGAATAATGCATCCCTAAGTGAGACTTCTTCATTCAGAGACTTTTCATGGAAAAAGCAGAGCAATTTTTCTGCTGTTCTACGTGGATTTAATTACCATAAAACTTACCTCTCTCAAATGCAAATATGTTAAGTGGCACTTGATAAGGTTTGCCTGATACACATATTTAGCAATCATCTCAAGTTCAGTCCACTAGAGAACAAACTGCACAGAAATTCTTTTCAAAGATCAAGCAAACTTGATGCTAGAAAGTGAGCTGGAATTATTGCAGGCACTGAAATCAGAGCCCTAATAGTATGTCTTTGACAAACTGTTCCCACAGCTCAGATGTTCACTCCACCCTGGATGTAAGGTCATCTGAGCTGCCTGTGATTCAGTTCCTGAGCTAACACCACTGTACTGGCTGTGATGAGTCAGGACAGTAAAGAAAGGTTAAATCCAGACGCTGCCTGAGCTAGAGACAGCACTCCTCCTTAGCCATTCTACTAGAAATTCCTTCCAGATCAGCCAAGATCTTCTACCTACTGCCATCGCCACTGAGTATCAAATCTGGCACAGCCTAACAGAGGCATATACTGAGGACCTGGGGGTCTGCAGTAGTGCTTGCACAAACATTAACAACATAGATGGGCCACCATCACAACAGCTGGATATCTTAAAATCAACCAGCTTCTATGACAGACTCAATTTAAGACACAGCAAAAAATAGTGCAGCAATATTTTAGTAGCAAAAAAATCCCATTAATGCAACTCCCTAAGGAATGGCTGTACTATCAGACCCATAGCAGATCTTATAAGGTACTGTCTTCATGTCTGGGAATACCTTCCCGGAAAAAAATTCCACATGCACACTTCTTGTTTGAAAGAGAATTTCCTCAGTTTTGTTTAGAAATTGCTTTTCTTTAGTGTTCAAAGATCTTGAGCCAAAATCCAACAAGATAACTAATGCTGACAATTCAGCATCTAAGGAATA